AAATCACGATGTATCTCGCTGCATTGCACGAGTACACTTCTAGTTATATCATAAAGCATTTGACAAAAAAACTCTTAAAAACGATTTTTTATGCACGAAGTACTGCTTATTGATACATATTAGTTAAAATTTAAGATTACAAGTAATTGTGTATAAGTACAACTTATTAAAACTCCATACTTAAAATTCATTTAACTAATTGCAGATAAACATAATCAAATATTGGATAATCATCTCATTTTGAATATAAAAAATCTAAAATATAATTTGGATAATCATTGATAAATAACAGAATACTTAGTTATTATCTTTATAAAAAAATTATATTATTAAACCTAAATTAAATTTCTTTATTACCAAACCTAAATAAAAAAAAAAACTAATTAAGAAAATTACGTCAAAACACAAGAACTTTTAAAAAGATTAATTTGATACTGATATCGATATTTTTTTTCAAAATTTTATGATATTTTTTAATTTATATTTTCTTCAAAAATAAAAACATTATCACTTTCTCAAAACCACATAAAACCAATGTTTACTTAAAATTCAAGATTACAAGTAAGTAAGTTATACATTAATTAAAATTTAAGATTAGAAGTAAATTGTGTGTACGTACAACTTATTAAAGCTTCATTTTTTAATTCGTATAACTAACCGCAGATAAACATAATCAAATTTAGGATAAACATCACATTTTAAATATAAAAAGCCTAAAATATAATTAGGATGATCATTGAGTCATAACAAAATCATTATTTTTATAAAAATTATATCGTTAAGCCAAAAATAAATTACTTCACTATTAGATCTAAATAAATTATAATAAAAAATTGAATTAAATAAATTATACAAAAAAGAATTTTTAAATAATTAATATCAATATATTTTTTTCCAAATTTTTATTATTATTTTGAATTTATTTTTATTCAAAAGTAAAAACATTATCTTTATCAAAACCACATAAATCGTATTATATATCAACAGAGACAAAAGATAAAACGAAACATTAAAATAAAGATGTATCCCGCTGCATTGTGCGAGTACCCTTTTAGTTTGTTTTGATGGCATAGAAGGCCTTCAAGTATAAGATCTTAAGCTTAAGTTTAGACCGAAACAATAGTACGGTGCCTAGTATCACAGGCAACAGTAGACAAACTGAACATGTACCGTAAAGGTATACATCATCACCGCTACTTTCAACCGCCGCCATCGGCGACCACCTCCACCTGCACCTCTTCTTCGACTACAACAACATCCTTCACCGCCTCCACAACCACCGTTCATCGCCACCTCTACCATAGTCGACTGTCGACCACCACCGTCCATTGCCACCACCACTACCGCCATTTGCCACCTCCAACTCCTTCTCTACTACAACAATCTCCTTCACCACCTCCACAACCACTGGCGACCACCGACTACCACCGCCTATTGCCACATTTACAACCACCATCAGTCACCGACCACCGAGTACCACCGCCCGTTGCCACATTTACAAACCACCATCGGCCACCGACCACCACCACCCGTTACTATTAACACTACCACCGGTGGCCACCTCCAACTCCTCTGATATCGCAACAACCTCCTCCATGACCTCCACAACCACCGTCGACCACGAACCACTATTGCTTATTGCCACCTCTATAATCACCATCGACCATCAACCACCACCATCCATTGCCACCACCGCCACCACTATTGGCAACTCCAAATCCTCTACTACAACAACCTCCTCCACGACCTCCATAACCACCATCGATCATCAACCACCACCGTCCATTGCCACCTTACCTCCACCACCACTATTTTCATAACATCAGCCACAACTACCTTCTTCACCGTTGTCAACCGCCACCATCACAATAATCTATCATCTTCACGTCCTCTATAACCATTGTCAGCCACAAACCACCATTGTCACTATCTCTATAACCACCGTTGGCCACCGACCACCACCATCCATCGCCACTACTACTATTGGCCACCACCACCTCTACCACCACCACTACCAATTGTATCAAATTTTTCATTCAAATTTGATAGCATTATATATGTATTTATTTATATGAAAACTATGTAAAATATTTATAAATTAAATTCTTTAACAATTTACTTTATTTGTATTAATTATAATTATTATATAATATTTGAAATTCATCAAATAACTTTTTGGGGGTAACTTGTGTAGTTCTGTCTCATCCAGTCATAGTCGTACCAAACACCAAACATACATTTGTTCTGTCCAGTCCAATCTCGTCTAGTCCTAGTCGTACCAAACACCAAACATACATTTGTTCCGTCCAGTACAGTCCTATCCAGTCCTACCCTTTTGTCATGTTTAGTTCTGTCCAATTTTGTCATGTTCAATCATCTTCAATTATGTCTGCGTACTAAATGCTATCTTACAGATTTTCTAATAGATTTTTATAATTATTATGAAATAATCAATTAAAAATTAAAATCTTTTTTAAAATAAGTTACATTCAACTTTAAATGATTCTCTATTTTAGAGATTTCATCATTTCTCATATTATTTAAATATTTTATAATTTTATTATCTCAATACATTATTAAAAAAAAACTTTAAAAAATTTCGTTCAATCTTATTGATGGGTTGAATAAAAAAACTCATTTCTCTCTTCTCTACTGAATGTTTAGATAATTTTTTATCTTTGGAGTTTTTCTATATATTTCTCTATTTTAAAGAACAAGACAAAGAAGTTGTTGGATATAGAGAAAACAAAACTTTATTTTATCTGCTTTTTGAGAATCTTTTGGAAATGCTCTTAACTTTAATAGTTTTATTGGTGGAGGGTTGAATTCCAGTAAGAACGAAAATTATACTGAGAATGGTAAAAATGGATCACCACCATTGGATCAATCTTAATTGAAGGTCAACACTAATTCAGTGTACCGAGATGCACCAGATCAATTCTCATGATAAACGCAATTCATAGGGTAGGATGAGATTAAAAGTGATCAAAGCTCCATATCCTTACTTATGCTTCTCATCTTAGCTCATATTCTCACACGACCATTCATCAATTGGTGGAATATAATATGAAAATATT